CTTCATTTTTTGGAGACAGTTTTATTCACTTTTATTTGAAATGTTTCTGAATACTTTTATTGCAACTTGATTCTTTCACTCTATATCAGAAACCAATTCTGGTGATCAGTATAAGAAGCAGGTTCAACTTGCATTTTTCCTCAAGTTACTGTTCTCATTTATATCATATAACCATGCCATTTATTATGAAGTTAAAAAAAAAGAGATTTTAATGAGTCTGGGGATGTAGCAAGAGCAGAGTTCCTGGGTTCCATCCCCAGCCGCCAAGAATAGAAAGAGGAAGTGGAAGAGGAGGAGGAGGAAGAGTTGTTAAAGTGTTTTGCTTTTTTGTATTTCCATCATCTCTAGGTATCTGTGGCTCCTCAAGGCATCAGCCTTCATCTTGGTACTCAGCATTGTCCTAGTTGTATTCAGAAGTGTGTCCCTTCCAGTAGCATTCAGCAGCTTCAAGCCAGAGCATGCACACCTGCCGCTGAAACTTCTTCCTGAGGAGCGCCTCCGGAAACTGTTTTCCTATAATGGAATCTGGTGAGCCATTGAGTGTTCTCTCTCCACCCTCGCCCTCCTGCTCTCTCTTCCTTGCCTCTCCTGTGGTATACAGAGCCCCGCTATGCCCAGTGTACAGACAGCTCCATGCCTTCCTGAACCTCTGCTGATCTGCTAAAGTGATTCCTAGTTCTAGGAGCCTGGTCTACCAGGAGAGAGCCTGGTCTACAGAGCACAATCTCTGTTCTCTGTAGCACTCAGCAAAATCCCTTAATACTTGGAGGACCCAATGGGCCAAGACTAAAGGGAGACATTTCATTCCTATTGCTCTGCCCTCCCCTCCTCATGGGACTGGGACATTGCTGAGGTTCCTGTGGCTCTCAGGATGAAAGAGGCCAGGTGAGGGGGAAAATTCAAGAGAGGGGAAACCAGATGGGTTCATGCCTGTAATACCAGTGACTTGGGAGGTTGAGGCATGAGGATTGCAAGCCCAGCCTGGGATGGATGGGGATATATATATATATATATATATGAGAGAGAGAGAAATCAATGTCAATATCTTGAGAGAGAGGAGAGAATCTTCGATCCTCCCTTCCCTCCCTACCTATGTCTCTGCTGGAAGATTCCAGGAGATCTCAAGGGTGTGGTAAAGGAGATCCTTAGGGCGAAAGACACACTGAATTGGACCTCAGGTTCCCTCCCACCCAACCCAAGTTTACAGCCCTCTTGCTTCCTCTAGGTTGTTTCCTAAAAAGGAGTGCAAATGTGAAACCACCCGAGGGCAAGGAGGTTATAACTTTCAGAATTCCTATAATCAAAGCGAACTCCCAGCGGTGAAGGCAAGGAGACAAGCTGAATTTGAACACTTTCAGAGGAGGTAATGCGGGCCGGGGGGATGGTGGATCTGGGGAGAATTGGAGTGGGTCCTAAGAGAAAAAGAGGATTTCCTTCTCTTGGCAGAAGCTATTGGGAATAAATGAAAAGGGAATTGAGGACATGGTCCTTAAGAGAAGTTTTATAGAACATGCATAAAATATTTCATAACAGAAGAAGAAAAAGGAATGGAGGTATTTTGAAACTAGTTGTTAGGGTGATGGTGGGAGAGCCTCCATGCACCCAGGCATCTCAGCGGGTCGCTCTGTACTCATCACCAAGTTGCACTATTTTATTCATTTGTATATTGGAAACATACAGTTCACCTGCCATTT